AAGGTATATAAGCGTGTCTGCGCCCCCTATGCTGAGGCAGATGAACATTTGGTGAGATATACACTTACACTCAACTCTCTCCTCTCTATCTATCCTTGTGTGTGTGTGCTAACTTGATCGTCGGAGTGGTTTTCCGGCCACACACCGCCGGATAGCTCACCGCCGTTATGCTCATAGGTCGATCGGACAGACAGGAGCCTGGAAGAAAGGAGTACGGGCTTGCCTGAATATTTGCTCCCTGTTCAACTGGCGCCGTCTGTGGGAACTTGACAGACAAAACCTTGTCTTCCAGGCTCATCTGATCGCCGTTCATGGCGAACAATGACGAGATTCGTTGTCTGCCGTTGACGGAGTTACCTCGGAGTCAGGCAGACGGAGAGAAGGACATCCTACCATCCCTCCTATGGCGGACTTGGAGACTTCTCCAAAAGGACATTCAAGAGACGCGCGGGATAAGCGCAGAAGGAGTTTTGGTCATTCTCGGAGCCTAGACAGGCTCCGGCGGCAGAGAGAATCACACGCCAGACGTCTAGAGCACAAGTTAAGGGACCAAGACGCCGTCATCCGAAGAATGACGGTGGAGATGGAAGATCTCAAACGACACGTCAAAGGGAAGGGTGTTGCTGGAGTGGGAGACCACAGTGAGTGCACCCAACCATGTCGTTTAGGCAATCGGAGCCAGCGGCACACTCCCTCCCTTTCTATCACCAGAAGTTACAGGGTCGGAGAGTCCGACGCGCCGGAAAAGAGGTCTAGCGCGCAAGACAGTACCTATCAGCCCTCACGTCCGGCGACGACGTCGAGGTATTCCTATTCTGCTTGCTCAGAGGACTTGCGGGCAGTCTTGAAGGAGCGGGCTCGTCGGCGAGAGACTCAGAGGGTGCCGGCACTCCAGCGGCTATCTTACGGGAGTCATGCCAGTGAAGAGGTCATAATGCCGCCACTACGCCCAGCCGTGCCCGTCCCTCTAGACACATATTTGGCGAGGCTGAACGCCACCCCTTTCTCCCTTGAGATAGAAACCACACCGCTCTCCGCGGGCTTTCACCAGCCCAAGTTTACGCTCTACGACGGAAAGACCGACCCATACATACATGTAAGCCACTTCCGGTAGGTCATGGTCGGACATAGGCGCAATGACGCTCTTATGTGCCTTATTTTCCTGTCAAGTTTGGGCGAGTTGGGCTTGAAATAGTTTGAGAGGCTGCCGGAGGGAAGCATCAAAAGGTGGCAACAGTTGGCGGAAGCATTTGTGACTCGTTTCAAGACCAACACCAAAATGCCAAAGGAGGTGGACCACCTTCTCAGTGTCAAAATGAAGTCGAGCGACACACTCAAGGCATACAACTCCAGATACTGGAAAACCTTCAACGAGATTTTAGATTGCCCGATCAACCTGGCAATCACCCAATATAAGCGCGGTCTCTCGGTCAGACATAGGCTGCGGGACTCGCTTACCATGAACCAGCTGACATCCATGGGCCAACTAATGAAGCACATCAATGAGCACATCCGAGTCGAAGACGATGCAGCCGCAGCTACCGTGACGACAAGTCTGGTAGTAGAGAATAAAATAGTAGTGCGAAAGGTTCATGCAGTCGGGCAAGATGATGGCCATGCAAACCACCATGGAAGAGATATAGGGAGTTCGGTTTTTGGAAGATGTCTATAAGAAGGCCGAGGAAAGGGGCATAAAACTTGCAGAATATAAATGGCCGATCCATTTTCAAAACATCGAACTCTGCCAATCTAAAGTTTTGTTCTTAGTTCTATTTTTGTAACCCTTTTTGCCATTGGCACAATGAACCAAGTAGACCATTTTCTTGAGAATTGTTATATTTTTTCCTCGCCAAGCGGACTTAGTGCGGTCCATGGGGCAACTAACAATCATTCTGATGCAAAGATCAAAATTCCTTGCAAGGCGGATTTTGCTCGGTAAGAGATTTGTTACTGGTTTTGATCAACTTTGGAATTCCTTGCCGGTCGGATTTTGCCCGGCAAGAGGTTTGTTGATGGTTTTATCAACTCTGGAATTCCTTGTCGGATGAATTTTACTTGGCAAGAGGTCTGTTGATGGTTTTAATCAACTTTAGAATTCCTTGCCGAGCTGATCTTACTCGCCAAGAAGAGTGTCGCGGAGCGGACCTAGCTCGCCATGGAGTTCCTTGCCGAGTTGGCCTTGCTCGCCAAGAAGGGAGTCGTGGAGGGGACCTTGCACACTAACCTTGGAATTCCTTGCTGAGCTGATCATGCTCGCCAAGAATGAAGTCGCGGAACGGACTTTGCTCGCCACCCTTGGAGTTCCTTGCTGAGCTGATCTTGCTCGCCAAGAGACAAGTCGTGGAGCGGACCTTCCTCGCCTACCTTCGAGTTCCTTGCTGAGCTGATCTTGCTCGCTAAGAAGCAAGTCGCGGAGCGGACCTAGCTCGCCTTGGAGTTCCTTGCCGAGCAGACCATGCTCGCCAAGAAGGGAGTCGACGAGCCGACCTTGCTCCCTGGCCGTGGAGTTCCTTGCCGAGCTGATCTTGCTCGCTAAGAAGAAAGTTACGGAGCGAACCTTGCTCGCTTTCTTTGGAGTCCCATGCCGAGCTGATCTTGCTCGCCAAGAAGCAAGTCGCGGAGCGGACCTTGCTCCCGCTCTTGGAGTTCCTTGCCGAGCTGATCTTGCTCGCCAAGAAGCAAGTCGCCGAGCTGACCTTGCTCGCCGACCTTGGAGTTCTTTGCTGAGCTGATCTTGTTTGCCAAGAGAAGTCGTGGAGCAGACCTTGCTCGCCTACCTTGGAGTTCCTTGCCGAGCTAATCTTGTGCGCCAAGAAGCAAGTCGCAGAGCGGACCTTGCTCCTGCTCTTGGAGTTCCTTGCTGAGTTGATCTTGCTCGCCAAGAAGCAAGTCGCGGAGCGAACCTAGCTTGCCTTGGAGTTCCTTGCCGAGTTGACCTTGCTCGCCAAGAAGGAAGTCGCAGAGCAGACCTTGCTCGCCTACCTTGGAGTTCCTTGCCGAGCTGATCTTGCTCGCCAAGAGAAGTCGCGGAGTAGACCTTGCTCGCCTATCTTGGAGTTCCTTGTCGAGCTGATCTTGCTTGCCAAAAAGCAAGTCGCGGAGCGGACCTTGCTCCCGTTCTTGGAGTTCCTTGCCGAGCTAATCATGCTCACCAAGAAGCAAGTTGCGGAGCGGACCTAGCTCGCCTTGGAGTTCCTTGCCGAGCTGACCTTGCTCGTCAAGAAGGAAGTCGTGGAGCGGACCTTGCTCGCGGACCTTGGAGTTCGTTGTCGAGCTGACCTTGCTCGCCAAGAAGAAAGTTGCCGAGTTGACCTTACTCACCGACCTTGGAGTTCCTTGCCGAGCTGATCTTGCTCGTCAAGAGAAGAGTTCCTTGCTG